TTGTTGAAACTCTGTAAATTTTAAGGCAATTTTCTGAAATCGCTTGAAAGTGGAATGTTGCATCCTTTTATGCTATTTCCTGCTTCCTATGTAGTTTTATTCAGATTTTTTAACCTTCTTTCTAAGTTTCAGCCTCCTGTGTATTAGGTACAGTATTTTCTGCCTTTCATACTTTGTAATAAAAATGGAACATTTGTAGATTGACTGCAGTTCACTGTGTGGTGAGTTAAAAACTGGTACATGTGGGGGTGAGCAGGGAACTACTTCAAATAGGCTTCATGTATCCTGTGTATAGTTTATTGCTGTAAAAGGGAGGGTGATTGCTTTACCTTGTCTCTGCAAAACTGGAGAAGTGTATTCGTCTCTCATCCTACCTATACCCAAACAAACTAGATAATTCTAGCAAATCTAAGTTGCAAGTTACTCCGAATAATTATTTTGTTAGGAACCTAGTCACAACAGAACTTGGTTAATATTTGATGTACGCCCGTATTTACTGTCTTAAAACAAACCTACTGCGTGGTCCCTGTATGCTAGTGGTGTTAGTGCTTGTTTTCCAACTTCTTTGCATAGTGCTTGTTCCCTGCACAACAAATGGTAATTATCTGCCTGCATGTTTTTGGTTTTTAAGATGAGGGGGAGAGGGATTTTTTTTTTCTTTTTAGTTCAAATAATTGGCCTCTAAGGCTTTTTGAATACAGGCAAATTGAAGACAAAGCAATTAGGCACTTAGCTTCTAAGTCTCTCCTGTGTATGGGTGACCTCTGTTAAAGGGAGTTTTCTTTACGGGCTCAGTCATTGGTGTCATTGTTGCTGGAACTAGGACCTAGAGGAGAGTAGGGCGGCAGAACTTAGAAATTTGTTTTTTACCTTAGACCTTGGTGAGCAAGACTGATGACTTCAGTATTTAGATCAACTAAACTGTTGTCTGACAACACTGCATTCCTCTCTAATTCTTTGTGTACTGGCTTTGAAATAAAAGCTTATTAAGCTTCATGACCACAGTGGAAAGAGTTGCCTGTAAAGATGCTGGTGTTTTTAAGCTATATATGGACTTTGTTCTAGTAATCCATATTTGGAAAAGATGCTTTCCTTTTAAGAATTGTTTGTCTCTTACCCTAGAAATGTATTTACATCCTCCTAGATTTTTTTCCTTGGATCTGTGCTTTGGAATTCCCCAAAGAAACTTTCTCGACTTCCACTCTGGTCAAAGAAAGCAAATTCTACAAATTGGAGCTGCTAGTGCAAAAAGTCAGGAACTGGTAGATGATATGAGAAATGGACTGCCTGTCAGTGTGGCAAAACATGTGCCATAAGGTCCTGTAGAGCAATATGGGTAGAAAAAGAGACAAGGAGAGGTTCTCTGCCTTTTTCTAAGTATTAAGGAACAGCTGACATCTGGCAGGGCTGACTTGCTTGCTCTGCGACCCTGGGAAAGTTACTTCTTCTCTCATACCAGTTGTAAGTGAAAAGCACATAATTAATCACTGATCAGTAAGTGGCTTGAAAATACTTGAAAATGAAAGAAATCCTGCACTGTAACAGAAGATACTACCCACGGGCGTAGAGAAAAAGTGATGTTTCCGATCATTTGAAGCCCTGACACTGTAACAAGCATTTAATCTTGTGCTTTTTCATTAGTACTGCTCTATAAACAGTCCAGACTGCCAGCTCAGAAGGAAGTAATGATCTAAAAGCATATTATATTTTTCACATCCTTCCTCCTCTTCTTTCTCTTTAGTTTTGCCCACTCCACAAGCAGAATGGCTCCGATTTTTTTAACGAGATGGCTTCAGAGCCCCCTCTACTGGAGTGCTGTCAGCAGTGGGACAGGCACAACCTTCCTGCAGAATAGGACACAGCAGAATAGGACAGGTATGCAGCTGCTCTTCAGGGACTGGGAATAGGTCGCTCCAGGCGTACTTTTAAGGAGTTTCACGTGGTTGATGTATTCTGCTGGAGGTGAGGTAAGGTTTGCCCAGTATATATTCTGCCATGCTGTCCTGAAGTTGGATAATGATGTTAGTTTTCCATTAACTTTGTTTTCAAAGCTGAGAACACAACAAGAAAGTGTCAGCAGAATCAGAACTGCCTGGAATCAGTGAGATTGCTCTTCTTTCAGATCTGCAGAAAAGAGTGCAGAACACTTTCATGCATCCTTTGAAGATTTACAGGGTTTCTCCTCCTCCGCCCCTTCGATTTTTATTTCTTCTCAGTGTTCCTGTTCAGTGTCTCTGGCTGTGCAGCCTGAAATGTAGAATAAGGAAGTTTTGGCATGGGACAAGGCTCAGCCTGGAGACTGCTCAGCTCCCCAGGAAGGATGTGTCTACCTAAACAAGAAGGGAAACAGGAAGAAAAGAAGAAATAGTACATCTGATAGCAAGGAGAAAAGGCTCTTTGAGTCAGACAGGTATGCTTCAGAACATGGAAATACTACCGAAATAGAAAATAAGATGATGGCATAGTGATTAAGAGACTGGGAAAAGATGCCAGGACTTAAATCCCAAAGGTCTACTCCAGACTTCCTGTGTAACTTTTAACAAGTCAGTGGCTCTCTGTGCAATGCCCTTTAATCCCTAAAATAGGGATTACATTTCCTTTTCTTACTTCATGCTGCGTGACAGCATTAAACAATTAGGTCTCTATAAAGTTCCTTTAAAACAAATGGGCTAACTATAAACATAGTAGCTCCTGAAGAATCTCGGTGAATATCTTTACTGATGATTTTACATTAAATGACCTCAAACAATCTGAATAGCTTTAAGTTGAAGAATTAAGTATGTTTTGTTGTTGCTGTTTACAGGAATGAAGCTTCTCTTCTGGAAAGCCATAGATTTGAAAGGATGTGGGCAATCTGGGTGGAAAACCACAGAATATCAGTTTGTACCATAGCGTTATTGGTAAAATAAATAACGTGATTCTTATGCACAAAACTAGTGTAGCGTTAAGTAAAGGTGAAAAAGGAATTACTCGTTTTTTTTCTCAAGTTATTCAAAAGGGGTGCTGATTTTGATAGAAACTTTGATTCCAGTTCAGGAAGGGTGTACCAGCTTGCTGGGGGTGGGGGTGGGGAGCAAGGGAGGGCTACAGTGGTCAAAAAAAAGGCCTAATGGCACTTTCATATAGATAGTGTTGTGATAATGTCTGTAAAATGAGAATAGAACCACAAATTGGCACATAAAAATTGGTGGGTTAGAAATTAGGCTTGATAGGTGGGTGAAGTGATGAACTGTTAAGGACAAATCATTCTGTTTTCAATTTGACAGAGGCGGGGAAAAAAGCTTCAGTGAAATCCAGACATCCTGGGCAGTTGGAGATGGAAAGAACGAGTTTTACCAGGGTGGCTGCCTCCTACCATCTGCTGGGAACTCCTGGCTCACTGTCACAAGCTGTGACTAGTTTGTCTAACATCTTTTGGACTTAAGTAAACCAAGTTTCTACATGAAGGACATGCATTTAGGTCTCATTTAACAGGACTTCTGTTAACTGAGAATTTTATGTGCAAACATGTAAGAACTGGAAGACAGACAAAAATACCAAATGGTAAGGTGGCAGTGGAGTGTTTTGACATCAGGGCTGGTGCGGTGGGGAATTAATATAGAATTTCTCCAGTTCTGGTCCCAAGAGTAATCTCACTAAAGCCTTTTTATAATGACCTTGGCACAAAAAGCAAGCATGATAATTAAATTTGGTGATGAACAAAAGTGGGAGGCTTCAATAATATGAGGGAACTAGAGAATCAATGACTTTGAAGAGTGAGAAATAGAGATGAGATGAAATGTAGCAGCAGAAACTGCAAGGCTGTTAATTTACAGACGATGAGAAATTTGTGAAGGATGCTATGAGGTTTTTTACTTCTTGGAAATTAGTGAGGAAAGGAAGTTGGGGTTTAGTATTTGATAAAGGATGGTGGTGAGCCACCATGAAGCTGTGAAAAAGCATGTAGAAAAGTTGGTCCAAGAGCAATAATGATGCTGTCAAACAAGAGAGAGGAATTCAAACTGGAACAGGGGCAAAAAAGACTACCAGGAAGATACCACAAATACAAAGCTTGTATTATGAAGAGAGAGTGGCTTAGTTGTCTGTTACAATGAAGCCTGAAAGGAGATATGATTATCTTCTTGATGTATTTAGGGAGGAAAAATACCAGGGAAGAGGAAAGGATTATTTAAGTAAAAGGATAATCTTGACATGAAAACAAATGGCTGTAAGCTGGGCATGAAAATGGGGTAGAACAAACAGGAAAGCTAGAAACACTTTCCTAGCATCAGAGCGGTAAAAGAGGAGGGACTAAAAAAAGGGAAGTCTAAACACTAACAGCATCAGTCTGGTTTTAAGATGGGAGCTTCAAAGTGGAATCTGTGGAAGTCATCTAGTCCAACCTTCTGCTGAAAGCAAGCCAGCTTCAAAGTTAGGTTATTGGCTTTGTCCACAGCTTCTTGCTCTAGAGAAGTCGGATCTGTTGATCTAAGCATTCCTTTACAGATTTGCATGTCTACCTAGTCTGACATAGTGAGATCTTTTGTTATCCCATCTAGAGAGAAAAAAAAAAAGATAATTAACGATATCACAGATATTATTGTTATGCTTTGGCTAAATCCTAAATTCCTCCTGGCGTGTGGGATTTAGGTTCCTGCACTTGCCCACCCTTTTGAGAAATTTCCCTCTCCAATCCAGTTTTCTTCTTTGTGTGGCTTATCCAGTTGATATAACCTCTTTGACATTGCTGCTGTGTTGCCTGCAAGCAAAACCACTTAAAAAACAATACACTTGCTGCTAGACGTTTGCCAGATTGAAAAGCAGCTGCTAAAACATCTGCTCGAGGTGGGTTTCCCAGCAGCAGGGTGGCCATTGCTGTGCCAGGGAAGAAGGGCTGTACTTCTTAAAAAAAAAAACAAAAAAACCAAAAAGAAACCCAAAACCCCTCTGCTGTCCCTTTTGTGGAAAAGACACTATAAAAATATCATCCCGCAGGTGGACTGGAAGCAGAAGGTGGGAAAGAGCAGCTGAAGCCTGGATGTCACTTTAAAAGGTATGATTTGATTTAATCTCACTTATGAACTTTGAGTAGAATTCCTGGGTTAGATTGGACGATCACAGTAGCCCTTCTTTGCCCTAAAAGCTGTGAAAATCTGTTGTGTAGTATGTTTGGTTTGTTTTCGGGCTTTTCCCCCTCAAAGGTATTTGTATTTAGTGACACTGGTGAGCTTTTTAGCATGAATGTATTCTGCTTATGGTCTGTGTGTTCAAGTTGGCTTGACAGAACTGCTAAATCTTAAAAAAATTGTCATCAGGTGTCTTAGTGAGTGAGGTCAGCAGTTCCACTTCTAACAACAAAAAACTTTCTCATTAAGATAAACTCCTAAATGAAAGGGGAGGGGGTGCTGAACTTGAAATACACTAGGCTACAGTTCACTTCTGCAGGATAGATCCAGAACTTTACTTTCACGTTGGGTAACTTTAACAGATAGAGTGTGTGATTACAGCGCTTAGAAACATTGTGATTGTGGAGAAAATGAAATAGTGCGTTTGAAGGCTTAAAAAAGGGAAAGAGCGGTTTACTCTGTTACTTTGACGTTTGTCACTTACTGCAGCCCATGGGGAACTGGGGGGGACCTGTGATGGCCTGGGGACATAGTCCCGGTTTGATGGTAACAGGATCTTTTATTAAAACAGCAACTGGAAGATAAGGCCATCTCTTGCCACAAATGGCCTGAGTGATGCCATGGGTAATTGTCTCTCACTTTTCTTTGGAAACCAAAAGAATCCTGCTTTTTCAGCGTCTTTTGGACTTTTTAATGCTCTATAACTGGTTTTGGTTGGGCGTTTTTTGCCCTCTTAAAAAGGTGCTTTTAAAGCAACAATTAAACTCATTGCTAAGCTCTGCTTACGAGGAGAGCAAACCACCAGGGTCAACGTGCGCAGGACACGTTCCCTCTGCCAGGACGCTTTGATGTCCACCCAAAACCTGGCTGTGGAGTCTGCGAGAGGCGGATGCTGGGGACCAGGTAGGGAGGGACAAGGAGGTGGGAGAGTGCCCTGGTGCGGGGTCGGGTGGTGGATGGGGTGAGGCTGGGTCCTGCCTGCTCGCAGCAGGGGACGTGCTTTTTTGCAGCCGCCGCCGGGCTCTAGGACCCGGCCGCGCGCCCCGGCTCTAGAACCCGGCCGATGGGGCGGGGCCGCGGAGCCGTCCGTCACCCTGATTGGCAGCTCTCTGTGGGAGGGGCCTGCGCTGCCCCCGCCTAGTGGCGGGAGGGGGGCGGGGCTAGCCCGCGAGCGGAACGGGCCCCCG